ATATACTAATATATATATACTAGCAGGTCCGTGCGAAAAATTCGCACAGCAAATTGTTATCAAATGCCAAATTAATAACAAAATAAAATAATGCAACGTATCAAAAGATAAAGAAATCAATTGTTACTTTATCCATAAATATAATCCACAAAGGAAACAAAATTAATTTAAATCTTCATTTTTGTTTGGAACCAACATATTTCCAAATTTTAATAAGCTGTATCTTTGCGAAAAATTGTCCGATTTCAATGATTTTTTTTTCCTTTTGTAGACAATTAAGTAATGCTTTATATAATCATAGGGATAACCATAGGTTTTTGTTTTATATCTCAAGTTCTATTATATTTACAGGGGTCTGGTTTGTGTCATTTCGTGTAGCTTATGCAGTCCTAACTTAATGTAAATTTTAGTGTGAATACGTGGAGTCATTTTTATATTATCCTACTTTTTGTGATTTTCGAAAGAAGATCGAAGGGGAGAGCCTTGGTTCCGATTTGGTGCAAACAAATTTTTTTTTTTTATTTCTATGAAAATTTGTATTTGAGGCTTTATAGAGGTGCGAAATACAAATCTCAACTCTTTTTTCCCTTAAAAAAATATTTGAACCCACTTTCCTCCTTCGGTCAGTATAAATTATTTCATTGTCGTACTGATAATATACCTATATGCCAAATATATAGTTCTTTTCAAATAAAATGGGATATAATAGAACTCTCCTAATGAATATTAATCGAAAATACGAAAAAGTAAATAATAAAATGAAAAAAAAATATTGGAAAAATTTCTAATCGATTTCGATGATTTTTTTTTCCTTTTTTCCTCCATCATGGGAATGACTAATCATCATGGGAAAAGTGTGTAATTTTTTAGTTATTCGCAAATAAAGTTTTTTTTTTCATAACTTGTTTGCCTGAATTTTCGGGGTGATTGGAATATTTTTCCCGCCTGAAGGAGAAGGAAGCCTTCGAAATTGGTGGCTCAATCTTGAGATTTGGTGAAAAATTAACAATAATATGGCTTACCGATCAAAAACATCATCGATAAATAATATAAACTCCTCCTGTCTCGATCATAGAGACCTCAAGTCGACGAAATGATACATGTATCCAATGACAGTATTACAATTAACGTCAGGTTGTGTGGATGCGAACCCCATGCCTTGCTTTATCTCGAAAATGGTACGTTTTTGGGGCTTAAAAACGCAGGATCCGATAGTTCCGAGGGAACTATCCGGGTCTAGCTGTACGCATCAAAATCTTCAAGGTCCAATTGGTCCCGCATCGATCTACAGACCTACCACCGTTCCAGTATTGAAGCCTAGAAAAATGTTTGTATTGACTTTATTTATTTTAGAAAGAAAAACAAAAGCGGAGAATACGATTCGCTAACCCCCCGTGAAATTCTGAATCCAACGGTACCCCATCCATGGTATTTGAGCATGACAGGAGCTTATATTTGGTACAAAACCGATTTCGAGGTTTACTGTAATAATATATGTACGGATATATATCATTTTCAATGGTCAAGATAGAATTGGATGTGAATAGACAACGGATATTATATGGGAAGATTCGAAAGTGATTTTCAGTTCAAGCATACTCTTAAGAAACTTTAATTTTATTTGAAATGATGAACCCTCTCTCATTGTTAAGGGTAATGTAAAATGGACAGATGTAAATTATGAAAACAATTTATAATGAACTAAAGAAGAAAAATGGAGAGATATTATTCCAGATTGCAAGCTAGAGGTGTATAGGATTCTCCTTTGGCCAGTTGGAGTATTTCCAATCATCCAATCACGTCGGGCCTGTTGTACCACGTCGGGGTCACCATTTGTCGAAGTAGAGTGCAGAGTATGTAAGTTACCCGAAGTTCTCGACAGAGCGTGTTGAGTAAAGGGGTCTACTCCCTGAAGGGATACTAACTGAGATCCGAGGACCTAACTTACGTAAAAAGGACTGCGGTAATCATTCCGCCAAGACTAAATCGGCTATCTAGAGCCGTTACAATTAAGTTATTTTTGAGCTTTAATCAGTATATGTTACCGCCATTAAACTTTATTAATAAAAAGTGTTTACAATGTATACACATATTTCAATTTGCAATATGAGTATTTTATCATATAACACTAGGAAATAAAAACTACATTTTTTTGGTACATTGCAGGAGAGAGCTTGTGTGGCGCTGCCAGGTAGTGGGCAGGTGAACTAGTTGTCCCTTATAGCAAGTGGCAAGAACCACCACAGGCAAAAGCTGTAATTCCTTCGAAATCCGGGATGATTTTCAGTTCAAGCATACTCTTAAGAAACTTTAATTTTATTTGAAACGATGAACCCTCTCTCATTGTTATTGATAATGTAAAATGGACAAATTTAAATTATGAAAACAATTTATAATTACCTAAAGGAGGAAAAATGGAGAGATATTACTCCAGATTTAAATTTTTTTCTCGAAAATAAGATTAGTGATATAATTATAATATATTGTTGAAAACCTAAACATTTTAGACATATATCTAACGTATGAAGGTAATGATAGTGGAAAAAAATGATCACAAATAATAATTATCATTTATGATTCCTACTTTTATATTTTATGATGAAATTAATTTTTGGTGATGTCTTTTCCCGTTGTTCTCCGGCATATTGAGTTCGTTTCGCGAACTTATATTATTTTCGTAACTGTTTTCATGGTTACAAGCCAAGATGTTAATTATTAATCGAAAACGACTCTGTCCCTCCCGTAAAGACATCTCTGGTGATTTTGTGTTAATATGATATCAATAGAGAATACGTTTATGAATTGTATAATGTAGGGTTACCAATTCTCCACCCCAAAGACGATGTCTATAGTTAAATAGCTGTATTTATAAAGTATTTGATTTTAGTCCTGAATAATATGATTTAATATTGTGTGAGTCAGTGTGAGTGAGTGATTGAGAGAGTGAATGAGTGAGTGAGCGAGTGTGATTTTCCGTAAACAGCCCTAAAAATTTCAACTGAACTTCCTATAACGAAGTAAAATTAAATTATCTTTAATATAAGTTTGGTCTATTCCACTTTTAAATTGTCTGATAGAAGTTAAATACCCAATCTTCCAAATTTCATTCTCTAAAGTATTTTTGATTTTGATGATTAGAAATAATCAAAGGTTTTGCATTGCTAGTAATAATACAAAATGGATAAATATGAACTATGAAAGAATTTAATAACCAATTACAGGACCCAATGGGTGATATATTTTCGCTGGTTGAAGATATATTTCCGGAAATAGTTGTAGTAATATATAAATGTATATGTTATATTATACGAATTATTTTAGTAAAATAATTGACTAAAGGGAAAATCCTGGCGGTTGAGCGTGATATTGACCTCGAAATTCTGGTTTGTAGCTTTCGGGGTAATTTTTCGTTGTATGATACAATTAAGCTTAACAAAAAAAAAAATAAATAAAGATTACAATTAAAATTTCTAATTTTGGTGAAAATTAGTTATGAAGAAAGTTTTTTTGATGCTATTCGACAGTACGATTGCGATTAAATGGAAACTTTCGAATCCTGGGATGTCACCGAACCAGTTACACTATCAAATCAAACGATAAGACAGATCAGAGCTATCAAATGCCACAATCATAAAATAATCCAAACTGTAAATTTCGTTGAAAAGGAAGTATTAATATTATTACCATCGTATGATAATAATATTTGCTCTACACGCATTTCAATATTTATTGGCATGTAGTGTTCTTGATTTATTATTCAAATTATTGACCGTTCTTAGATGCTGAAGAAAAAAAGCATCCCAGAGGTATACAAATAGAAATAAAATTACTATAATTTACAATTTTTTTTTTTTAATTTGAACTATAGGCAAGTTTATAAAAAAGAAAAAAAAAAGTCGAAGCACCATTCTTGAGCCATCTTTTCGTAGGACAAGAATATTGACGACATTTGCTTAGGAGGCGTATTTTCGTAAGCTTTAAAAAGTTCGAAAATAATGGCTCGAACCTAACCAAGCGGATCAGACCACGTATATCAATAAGTACATGAAAAAATTGTATTTATATTAAAGTTTCAACATTATGAAATCAGAACTGTCAATTAACAAAATCATGAAATAATTGAAACCGTAAATTTCGATAACAAGAGGTATAAACAACACTCCCAAGACGATAACTGTTTAAATGTAAATCCAGAAGCTTTTCAAATATCTCCTTACTTATACATCTAGGAAAAGCTCGTCTCTAGCAAAAACCCCGTATAGAAAGGAGAAAAAAATATACATACATAAACCATGTCGAATATAATTATATATTATTTTTATATTAGAGAAACAGTTAGTGACATATAAAATATTAATTAGAGATCGTGATGATAAAAATAATTGTGCAAAAACAAATCTGCCATGTTGATATTTGACAATGGACTTGATAAAGAGACCAACGTCAATATTTCTTGTACATGGTTTCATCCGCAATGGAACACCTTCGTAATCCATATTCTTCTATTTTTATAGTCAACGGCACACAATAGATGGTCGATTTTGCCTAATGACGTGTAACATCAGAGATTCTCTCTTTCATGAGTTAAACCTGGTCTTCCCGACATTTTGGCGGTACCCCCGTAGACAAAGGTTTTGTCCATATTCATATTCCGTTTGGACTTCCTCACCTTTTAAACTCAAGTTTTTTGGTTTTTTTTTAGTGAATGTTTTGTTTACAAGGCGTGTATTGTAGCCTCGTACATCGATCAAAATTGTGATCTATATAAATCCTAGTATATGGTGAATTTTTTTTCCATCAGAATTAAATTATATTTATTAATTGAACGATATAACATTTTGTCACTTGGAAAATGGCTGTAGAGCGGTAAGACCACATCTACATTAAATATACAAAAAAAAATTTAAATAAACTGAAGCAAACTAAAAAATAACCAAAAAGTATATACAATAAAGAAAACAAACTAACTTAAACATAAGTAAATTAATAAAAGCACATACCTGCGTGGTGGAATTAGATGACTGAAAAATAATCTGTTGAATCTATTAAAAAGTGTTAATATACAGTCGCTTACAGTCAAAATGATACACCTGGATATTGATAGAAATTATTGACTAAATAAATAGTTAATAAATAAATGGTCTTTTCTTATGTTCTGTTTCTTGGTGTGGGAGTGTATGGCGAATTCTGGTGTAGGGATCACTTTATAATTCAAATATGAACATGGTATAGTGAATAAACATGTTTACATAAACATTTTAAGAAGACACTTGAAAGAGTTGGCGGAAAATCTGGGACTAAAAAACAAATCTAGTTTTCATGAGAATAATGACCCCAAATATTCTGTTATGTCAAAGAATGGATTTAAAAGTCATAAAAACTCCACAACAGTCACCAAATCTAAATTAGAGATTGAAATTAGAAACACGATATTTCTAGCTAAGAAGGGTTTAAAAATATCTCCACCAAGAGTTGAACAAAGCCCAGAATTCACCAACAAATTGGTCGACTTCATTACATACAAGCCGAAAAAAGTATTAGAAAATAATGGCTCTTTTAAAAGGTATTGAACTAAACTACTAGTATTTAAAAGTTAATACGAAGTGAGGTGTATCGTTTTGAGTGTTAGGTAAAATTATAAAGTTTTTATATTATTTTTTTTAAATAATTATTGTGATTAGAAGAAACAGTTGAATATTTTAATTTAGCTGAAGAGTTTCTGCTTTTATTTGTTTATTGCAACCATTCAAGTCTTTTTTCTATTTTTCTATGGTATGTATCAGTTTCACTGTGAGCCACTATATATTCATAGGTACTATCTAAATTAATGTAATCAATCAAAAAAGGAAAAAAAAAAAAAGATCTATTATAATAATGAAAAGGGTCATTCCACTGTCCATAATCAAAGTCCCAAGGCGCGGGCACCACTAAACACAATAAGCAATATGGTGACTATGAGAAAGAAATAGTCTAACGGTTTGCTGCCAACGGGATAGAAGGATCTCAAGTACATGGAATAATCTAAATGAAAACAAACTTATTTTTCAAAGTATGCTTGTTGTAACATATTAGTCACGTCCTTGGAGGTTTAAATGGAAGACAATCCATTTTTTTTTTTTAATTTTCGCAAATTCCGATAGAGGTTGGAAAATATCGGGATTCACATATCATGGACTTTGCGGTGAAGAAAGTACAATGTTATGATAGTGTCCACGTTCAGTGAGAATTAAAAGAAAAAAAAACTAGATGATGCAGATATGAAGACGACAAATAGTTGGAAGAGAAAGAAGGAGGCGGAGGGCAAGTTGAACGAACGCTCCTGAAAGCTACTGGAGGAATATCAAACAGATTTCTAACGGCCAGAATACGTGATGACATCCCGCGCCTCTGGCAGTCTACTCAAGAGGAAATGACGGAAGGGAGAGTGTGTCACAAGAGCAAAGACCTTTCCTCCCATCCAATCATTTATTTTTAATTTAGTTTAATTGATCCGTCTTCGGGGGATAACCTCGATACGTTTATTCGAAAGTATATACAAGAAAATCATGACAATATTGATTCTATATATCGAATACCGCCGTGAAGGAATCTTTAAACTTTCTTTCTTCAGCGTTCGCTTTAAACCGCTAACTGTAAAGTACCGTCTAAGCGGATTACTTTGCCCGTTAAGAGTATTGGAGTAATATCATTGCTCAAACGAAATAAAATGTTTCATGTTGCTGTACGTGAATCACAAGTGGAAATCCAAGGCACGAATAGTCTGATTGGGAAAGAAGAGAAGAATATCTTCTGATCGGTGGTCGCAAAGTTGTGAGGAAAAATAAACATAATAGTCCAATCAATGAATGCTTGAGAAGAGGGTATAGAAGAAAATGGCGGCTACGCAATTTAGAATTTAGGGGGGGGGAGGGCTTTCGGACTGAAGCCCTCCCCCAAATGGTAAAATATAACCATGTTTTATGGAAAAACATACTTAAAAAATTATTTCTTAAAGTATTATTGTTCGTGTGATTACATTTAAAAGGACTTAAGGAATCACTTAAATATCATTTCATATAGATAGTTAGCTTCTTTCTTTTTTTCCCAAGTAATTATCGTCATCGTCATTCAACAAAAACCTTTCGGGCTGATGCCCCCCCCCAAAATTAAATCCTGGATCCGCTAGTGGTAAGGAGGTAAACATACTAAAAGTCCCCACTCCAAGGTGGTGAGCCAGATGGGGAGGGGGGCCTAGTAGGTCATGTTTTTCGGGTTTTCGCTTATATCAGGAAAACTATCCATCGCATAGACATTCTATACAAAATTAAAGCTAATGATTGATTATATAGCTTTCTTTTTCGCTATCTCGCTAATTTTCCAAGATATTCGTCCTCAACTATGGCTAATTTAAAAAAAAAAATGCCTCGTGTTTATTGCTGTTTTTCGAGTTTTTGCTTATATCAGAGAAACTATCCATCTCATCCACAAATATTTCCTATTCATAATTAAAGATGATAAATTTTGAAATATCATTAACCATACATCGTTTTTCGCTATCTCGCTTAGTTTGCGATTAGTTCGATATCCGTCCTCAACTATCGCTAATTTGGAAAACAAAATTTTTACCTCATGTTTTTTTTTTACTGCATTTGACTAGCTAACTCTTGAGTCGTGAAGAAGAAAGTTTTTAATAATTAAATTTCCTTCATGAATATATATTAATTTACTGGTTTGTCTTCAACGGTTCAAAAGTTAGATACGTTATAATTTTATACGTCGATTCCGAGATTTTGCTGAAAAAAATAATTTTTATAATAAATGGTATTGCATGTATATATATATACTTTAGTGCACAAAATTTTAAATTGCAGTTTCTGATTCTGTTAAGAGGTTTTAAGAAACTTTAGAAAGTGAAGCGAGTTTTTCCAACAGACCCATGGAATTTCTCTACTTAAAAAATAAGACAAAACCTTGGTCTTTGCAAGACCAAGACCAAGACTGGTAAAAAAACATTGATTTTTTTAATACAAATTAAGGCAAAATAATTACTAATACTTGACAATTGTAGTTACTATGTGTAAAGAATTGGTATGGCCATTGTACTTAGCATTTAACTCTTCTAATTTTTCATTCGGGCTTAGTTAGGTTTCTCATATCTAAAAAATTACAGTAATATCTCTATAGAAATAAGCTAATATGTAACTGCAAGATTGTTGCGAGACTCTTGCGCAAGATCAAGACCAAGACCAAGACTTAACGTTTCTGTAGGAATTTTATGAATGTTTAGATTATAATAAATGGTGTTTCCTGTCTTCTTTATATTATTTAATTACCTAAATAATATAATATAATATATATATATATATATATATATATATATATATATATATATATATAATAATAAATCTTGCAAAGAGAAATACGGTTTTGTTTTCTAATCCCTATGAAAGCGGATGTTGGTGAAATTCTATTGAACAGATATATCAGTTACTTATATATTTTATTATGTTGCAGCCAATAGACATCGCAATCAAACATTATTTTTGTTACAAGTTTGTATTAGCGTTCTAAATTAGTGTGGTGCGATGAGAGAATCACGCAACTTCCATTTACCCACATTATGTTGAGTAAAAATTAATTTAAAATAAATTAATAAACTTTAAGAATGTTACTTTAACGAGAATTATCATAAAATATAATAATATTGTGTATTATTTGTGTTTTGGTGTGCCAAGATGAAGAAAATCAATTTTAAAAGTTTTCATTTAGTTTCTATGGAAATAGAATAAAACCATCATAGTTAACATTTATCCAATTTTCATAACTATTATAAGTCATAGACGGTCAATTATTTCAAATACAAAAAATTGAAAAAAATTTTCAAAACCCGTGTTTCGGTATTTAAGACCTTTTGGACTATTTCAATGAGAATAAGACCTAGATGATATATATTTTTTAAAAAATATTTTATTGAGAAATATTGCAATCTGTCTCAGTTAAGGACACTTATAATAGAGTTCAGAGAGTACATCAGAGAGTACAGACACATAAATAAATAAAGTAATAACAAAAGAATAAAAAAAAAAAGAACAAAAGAAAAAATATATATGAATAAGAAAAACAATACATACATACATAAGATATATATATATATAAGAAAAAAATATATGTACATAAGAAAAAAATATATATGTTTAAGATTATATTAAAAACCATTAAATTCTATACAGATTTAAAAAGTTTAATATAAATCGTTGGAGCAGTGGCTTTTCTGGTGAGTCAGTTTTGGCGAAGAAGTTGCTATAACAACGCACATCAAATATGTATTTTCAGTTTCGTACGACTTTCCGATTTTGAATTTTACTAATCACATATTCAGAGAGACCATTTTCGAGATTTGGATGTTTGAACTCAGAGAACATTTAAACGTTTCCTTTGTAAACTCAAATTCGATTTTTTTTTCTCTAATTTTTGCAATATTTTCTTATATATCCCGTATAAAGGTTGTTGTTGAAAGTAAAAAAAAATACAATAATGATGAAATCGTAGTTGAGTTAGAGAATTTATTATTGAAAGGTTTCTAAGAGGTATCGGAGAAGTAGAGAGTAGAATTGATTGATTCGGTTGGGTTACTATAGAAACCCGCTGGTCTCTCTGGCCATAACAGACTATATCGATGTAGCAGCCTCACACCACCTTCCAACCTCCCGTCTTTAGAATGGAAAAAAATACAATACGTCTTCTCAAAGGAATCAAATATACTCGTCATATCAAAAACAACTGCAAACGCTGTCAGTATAAAATGAAGCGTATATTTCCAAAACAAATTCTTAATTTATTTTTGTCAATTTCACAGGAAAATAAATTTATTTTGAAATTATAGATAGTCCAATTATTTTTTTTTCTTTTAGAATTTATTCATTTTAGTTACATTATGATAAATTACAAAGATCAACAATTTTAATTTTTTTATTTAAGCATTTAAAAATCATTAGGATATTATCAGTTTTGAGAGATACATAGTCGAGAGGGAGGTGACTTTGAAAAATCACCTT